CCAGTCTTGGAGCCCTGACTCTGCCATGGCTGCAATGTGTAGATTTAATTAAGTCTCTATCATTGGTAAATAAGACTCAGGAGTCAAAGACTGGGGTGAAAACTTGCTAGCTCAGAGAGGCTGAGTAGCAACTATCTAACTGACCTTCAGTTTTGGCTGGAGACACCAAAGAGTCATGTCTCTTCCCTCATCCCAGAACCAAGAGGAAGATCAAACTCCAGTCCCTGCCCCTTCCTTCCTCCGTGTCTTCTCTATCCAAATTGCTGGTTTCTCTATGGCTAATTGCGGTCAGCTAGTCACTGACTCTGACCCCTGATTCAAGGTATAACTTTATTGGGCAGTCTTAGGAGTGTCAGAGTGAGATCAAAATATCCCACAAGAAATCCCTCTTTTGAAATAAAACATTTACACATGTATGTGGCATCTTTCACATGTATGCAGGTGCACATGGAGACCAGAAGAGGGCATTGGGTCCCCTGGAGGTACAGTTACAGGAATTGTGAGATACATGATGTGAATGCTGGGAACCAAGTTCTTGTCCTCTGCAAGAGCAGCAAGTGTTCTTGCCTGACAAATCATCTTTTTAGCACCGCCCCTTTATCTGAGGTACTCTAGCTTACTCAGTAGGGAAGTTAATAGTAACATATTGATTGAACTTGTAACTTCTGTGAATTAAACTAGGGTTGGCAGCTATTCTTCTTAATGGCCTGGCTTTTAATCTTGGTGCTTTTTTATTTGGCAGTGATTCTTGTCTTGGAGCGGGGTTTTCTGTCAAGTTGGTCAGGGTAGGAAGGGGCAGGTTTGAGTGATGAAGTGGGCGTGCAGTAATGAATTTATGAGTTCAGGAAGAGCTCCGACTCTGACAAGAAGTTGGCCAACCCATGACTGAGCAGTTGTGTGTAGATTTCCTACTTAGAAATAAGCTTCTCTGTGGCAATGTACAGGAAATACACTTTTATTTCAGATTACAGACCAAATTTAAGCTAAAACCACATAAAACATATACCCCCAAGTCTCAGGTGCTGTATATGTCAGTGTTTCAAAATTAAACCCAGAAGTTTCCAATGGATTATTGTAATGACTTGCAAGTAGGACTTTTTTTTTTTTTGTAAATTCCTGCATATGTCTTCACAAATATTTAGGGTTGTTTGTTTTTGAGATAGGGACCTGTTATGTAGCCCATGCTGGCTAATGTAGCCCAGCATGGCCTCAGGTTTGTCTTGCCTTAGTCTTCTGAATGCTGAGGCTACACGTGTGTGCCACCACATCCAAGTTCATTACAGTTTTGATTATTTCTCTAGTAACTATAATGGGCATCTTTCCAGGTACTGCTTGTCTGTTTGTAGGTTTTGGGAGAAATCGCCAACATTATTGCTCCACCACTGAGCCTTATCATCACCCCTCTTTGCTCATTTAAAAAATGTGTTTTGCCAGGCATTGGTGGTGCATGCCAGCACTCGGGAGGCAGAGGCAGTAGGTGAGTTCAAGGCCAGCCTGGTCCCCAGAGCGAGTGCCAGGATAGGCTCCAAAGCTACACAGAGAAATCCTGTCTGGAAAAACAAAAACAAAATAAAACAAAATGTGTTTTTAAACATTTTAAAACTCAAGCATTGTTTACTTTTATTGAATATAATCATTGTATATGTCACTGTAGTACATAAGGATATTTTCATACAGGTACATGTTACCCACTGGGCATATCAACCTCCCTGCCCCCATTAGTCCCCTTTACTCCCTTGTACAACTTCAGCTATACATATGTGATTTTGCCCGTGTGTTTAAAACCTAGGAGCCACATACAGGAGCAAACATGTGATGCTTGTTTTTCTGGGACTGGCCTGATTGACTTACTGTGGTTAATAATCTTCAGTTGCTTGTAAAGACAGAACTTCTTTATGGGTGAAGAAGACTCACTGTGTACAACACAATCTCTTCATCCATTCTTGCACGTGGTCCCTAGCTTAACTGTTGTGAATAGTCCATGTGGTACCTGGCTTAGAGTCCTTCTGGCAAATACCAGTTATATAACAGAGTTACTTAGCAGATCTGCTTTCAGTTTCTTGTTTGGGTTGTTTTGTACAGATTTTATGCGTGGATTAAACACATTAGTGATTAACTCTGAGTCACCGATAATGTATTGCTTTCACATTAAGGAAAGAAGGAAAACTGCTTCCCCTTGGTGTCATTTAACCAAGATCGAGTCCAGATTTGACCTCTCTACTTCATGCTCCCTGTGTCTTCTGTTCTTTGTTTGTATGATCTGAATATGTGTCTGCCTGAAGGCTGTCTTTGTGACTCTGTCCCTGTGTCTGGGTCTTCTGTCTGTCTGTCTGTGTATGTCGGTTGTATGAGATGTGTGTCTGTGCTTAAACAAAGGCCTTTACTCTGTCTTTCTTGAACAGCACAGAAAGCATCACATGGGAAGGAATGGGGAACTTTACAAACATCTTTAACAGAGTTGTATAAGGGATTGAGTGACTGGCTCCAACTGTCCCACACAACAAACAGTACTATAAATACTGTTTATTAACAAATATCCTTAAGTGTTGTTTTCATCCTTTATGATAGGTTTTAGAAAGTTGCTTTCAGTCTCTATATTTGCTACTTTCAGCAAATGATACACATGCATTGTTCTGGGTCATGGGCATGGAAAAGTACATAATTTAAGATTACAACTATGAGGCAGGCAGTAGTGCAGGCCTTTAATCCTAGCACTCAGTAGACAAAGGCAGGCAGATCTCTGAGTTCAAGTCCAGCCTGGTCTACAGAGCGAGTTCCAGGACTGAGAAATTCTGTCTCATAACAACAACAACAACAACAACCCAAAACAATGAAAATGAAAAGATTACAGCTATGTATTAATTTAGGTTGTAAATGTTGACGACGTGAGAAATTCAAGGCAAGTAAGGACGACCGTTATATTGTTCTCTTAAAGTTTTAGGGGTTAAACAGTTTTAGTACACAGTAGGCTAGCTGTCACCACTTAAGTGACCTCAAGGTGTATTACTAACAAAAGTTCTAGTCTCTTAAAATACAAGAGATATTTCTAGAATATTTCATTGCCACGGTTTTGTTCTTTGTTTTCATTTTTGAGGCAGTCTTATTATGCGCCTTGGCTGACTTAGAACTCAGAGATCTGCTTGCCTCTGTCTCCTGGAGTGCTGGGATTAAAGGTGTGTGCTATCAAGGGAAGCCACTTTTTATTTTACTGAGGGGGAACACTCCTCCCCCCCCCAAAAGTTTCCACAGTGAGGGAACTGGTTTATATTTCTGTCAGTGGTAGGTAATAAGACTTCCCTCTGTCTATATCTTCAGGAACATTTTTTGTTTGTCAGAACCCAGATGTTTTAAAATTGTGTATAGCAGTCACTTTTCCACCTGGAGGCAGTGAGAAAGACACTTTTGAGCAGGCTACCAAGAATATAAACTGAAGCTCAAAGGTCCCTGGGAGAGCAGCTAGTTTAAATTGTTCAGTTGGTTCAAAGACTTATGATAGGGAAGTTTGAATAAGAGAAATAAAGAAAGTTACATTTTTGTTACAAACCTAAAAGGAAAGTTAAAACCATCTTATGCTGTAAGTTTTCCTACTTCCTTGTTTCTTCATTTACTATGTTGTGCTCCCTTTGAACTGGGAGCAGAATCTTAAGCTATTTCAATAAATTTTTGTGTGCTCGATATTGTCTGCCCCCTTCTTTAGTGTGTCTGTGTGTATATGCGTATGCCTATGTAGGTAGTGTATGTACGTGTGTGTGTGTGTGTGTGTGTGTGTGTGTGTGTGTGTGTGTGTGTGTGTGTGCTTTAGCACAAATGTGTGTGTGTGGGTGTGTGTGTGTGGGTGGGTGGACAGCCTTGGGTGGTGTTCCTCCAGCATTGTCTGCTCTTTCTTTGCTTATTCTCTCTCTCTCTCTCTCTGGTTTTTCGAGACAGGGTTTCTCTGTGTAGCTTTGGAGGCTGTCCTGGCACTTGCTCTGGAGACCAGGCTGGCCTCGAACTCAGAGATCTGCCTGCCTCTGCCTCCTGAGTGCTGGGATTAAAGGCGTGCACCACCAACTCCCAGCTTCTTTCTTTTATTTTATTTTGGACATGGAGTCTTTTACGGGCCAGGAGCTCACTGAGTAGGCTAGGCTGGCTGCCCAGCCCGCCCCAGGTATCATCTACCTGTCTCTGCAGCTTCATCACAGGTATTACGAGTATACATCACTGCACATGGCTCTTATTTTAAACCTGGGTTCTAGGACTTGAACTCAGTGCACAGCAGGCACTTTACCAGCTAAGCTGTCTCCCCAGTCTTCCACCTTTCTCTTTATAGCAATATGCATATTTAAATACAGTCCAGCTGTATACTGGACAGATATTGACTTTTCATTAGTTTAAGGCCTGTAGTGTTTTGTTCTGTATATATGAAACTGACAGGGCAATTATGATTTGCTGCAGCTGCATTTACCAAACATCTTTGTGTTGATGCTAGCATAAATATCTAACACTTGGGGTGCCGGTGGTGCACGTCTGGAGGCAGGGGCAGGCAGACTCTGAGTACCAAGGCCAGCCTGATCTACAGAATGAGTTTCAGGATAGCCAGGGATACACAGAGGAAACCCTGTCTTGTGTGGGGGGAAGGGAGGATCCCTAACAGATTAAGAACTAACATTCTTGGATTAGAAATATAGCTCAGTTGGTAAAGTGCTTGGCATAAAATGATATGAAGTCAGAGGCAGGAGGTAGGAGTTCAAGGTCATTTTCAGGTACATAGTGAGTTTGAGACTAGTCTGAACTACATGAGATCCTACCTCAGAAAGAAAGGAAGAAAGGAAGCAAGGAAGAAAGAAAAGGAAGGAAGGAAGAAAAGAAAGAAAAAGAAAGAAGGAAGGAAGGAAGGAAGGAAGGGAAAAAAAACAAACAACACCTAGCACTGTTCTCGGACAGATAGACATAAAACTCTAGTAGCCTGGTGAGTTTTTCTTGCATCATCTTGATTGCTCTATTTTTCTCCTGTAATACAGCCGCTTCCTGAGAAGTTCGTGGTGAAAGGTGTTGTGGATCGTTTTTCAGAAGAGTTTGTGGAGACCAGAAGAAAAGCTCTGGACAAATTCCTGAAAAGGATTACAGATCACCCTGTGCTCTCTTTCAACGAACACTTCAATGTATTCCTCACTGCTAAGGTACAGGCAGACTTTTGTGTATTTCTCTGTAAATGATCATTCTTGAGCTCCTTCTCAAACAGCTGCTTTGTTCTTTCATGAGCCACTTCTGTGATTGGTGCTCTGAGGTGGGCATCATACAGGCCTTCTCCTTTCTTGGTGCCCACTGCATTGGCATAATTTCTGTTTTAGAATCCAGAAGGAAAGCAGGCTGCCCCTCTTGCCGTAGCAGTGGAAGTCGGTATTCCCACTTGCTAAAAACAGAAGTGTCCTGTAAACACTTCTTGGCAGTATTAGTAGGTGAAGCTTATCAACAATAGACACAAAAGGGAAAGAATACTGAGCATTTGGCAAGAGTGTTCTTCAGGCTGGCAAGATGGTTCAGTGGGTCAAGTGTTGGCCACAGAAGCCTGAGGAGCCAAGTCTTCTTTCCAGGTCCCACACAAAGGTGAAAAGACCCAGTTCCACAGGGTGGTTCTCTGACCTCCACAGGTCACCCACACACCAAGGTTCACACACACACACACACACACACACACACACACACACACACACACACACACTCACTCAAAATAATACATTATAAAATATCCTTCATATGAACCTATTGTGGACACAAAGATACTTGTGCCTGCGGAGTACTATGGAACCAGGAATGTTAAACGCACAGGGGCCTCCCCTCAGTGGAGGAATTACCTGCTTTCTACCCAGAAGGCTAGGAGTAGACACTGTTAACAACTTGGTGATCTTTTCACTCTTATGGAGGCTTATGTCACCCACTATTTTAGGGTTCCTATTGCTGTGAAGAGACATCATGACAACAGCAATTCCTATAAAGGAAAACATTTAACTGGGGCTGGCTTACAGTTCGGAGGTTCAGTCCATTATCATCATGACGGGTAGCATGGCAGCGTGCAGGCAGACATGGTGCTGGAGCTGAGAGTCCTACATCTTGCAGGCAACAGGAAGTTGTCTGAAACATGGGTGGTATCCTGAGCATAGGAAACCTCAAAGCCCACTCCCACAGTGATGTACTTCCTCCAGCAAGGTCATATCCACTCCAATAAAGCCAAGCCTTATAATAATGGTACTCCCTATGAGATTATGGGGGCCATTTCATTCAAACTGCCACATCCACCTTGTGCTATAGAGGCACACCTCATCCAAGTCTCCCAGAATGTTTATCCCAGACTCTTCTCTCCTTAGAACATTATCTTTAGCTCCCAGTTAATAGAACCCATTCTTAGGGGAGATGGCACTTGTACTTTATGGCTTCTATGTTATCTCAGTCAGAGACCACACTCGATTCTAGGCCTCTTAGCTGTAGAACCCACCCTCATGGTCACCTGTACTTTTCAAAGGGATTCCTGTGTAGTCACACCTTAAACATTTTTGTGCACCTGAAATTGGAACGATTGTTGTCTGGGAACTTTTCCCCAAATTGTACTGTGTTTTAAATATGCTGACAACCACCTGGCATCAGACTCTCCCAAGTTTGGTCCAGGTAGATGAAGTTAATCTGACTCAAGTTTTCATTCTCACCTCTTTCCTGACTTGACACCTTCAGGCCCCCTCAAGAGCCCTGTAAATAACTGTAGCTTCATTTTTCAGACAAGGAAACTGAAGTTCAGAGAGATTAAACTTGTCCAGTGGACATCACTAGCACTTGAAATTGGGTCCTGTGGCTTTTAAGGCCTTGCTTTCCATCTGTATCACAAGGTCTGGCCATTGCTCGCCAACAGCTCTGTTCCTCTTAGGTGTGTTTTCCAATCATTTGCCAGGAAAGTGTTGGTTTCCAGCTTGTTGCTAGAGACTGTTCAAGCTCAAGTGGCTTGTTCATGAGCCTTATGCTTCACTTGCTGTTGGCAGAACTGGCCTGAAATCTAAGTGCTCTACTCTCACTGTGTTGAAATGGGGTCACATGCTCACACTCTCTGTAGCCAGCCCATTCACTTTCAGATTCCTGCGTTTAAGCCATAAATAGTACGCTCTAATGACAAGAGTGTTGAGGTCTAAGTATTGTCCATTTCACTTTGATAAAATTACAAGAAAACAGAGACATCTGTGCAGATAGCAGCTGCTGACATTTAAATCTTCTGGAAGATTCCGTTCTCTACTCATGGAAACTATCTGGCAAAGTACTCTAAGTTTTTGTTTTTGACATTAGTGGATGGCAGCCCATACACTAGCTCCCCCTACAGGTTGAATGTGTTTAATGTAAGCATTTCTCAGTGTACTGACACTTGGGTGTGGGTCTTCAAGTTTCTTGTTCTTCCAAAGTGCAAGTTGGTTCCCAGGTTACAAGTCCTTTATCCAGAAGCCCCAGGTTGTCTTCATTCCTGAATGAAGTGGGGGAGGTTTGTGGCTTGGATTCCTGGTCCTTAGGAATCTGCATGAAGAATGTGTGGGAAACAGTGTGGTTTGAAGAGAGATGAATTGAGATCTCTGGCCTAAACAGTGTGACAAAGATCCTTTAACATGTACAATGGGGTCCCTCAGTGTCTCCATCAAAGTCATGTTCTGTGTAAGTGAATGCGGGAGAGCAGCCCCTAATCACAGAGTTCTCTCTGGGCTTGGTGTGGTACACGCTTTTTAATCATAGCACTTGGGAGGTGGAAGCAGAAGGATTAGGACAGGGTCATCCTCAGCTACATAGTGAATTGAAGGGCAGCCTGGGCTACATGGGCCCCTGTCTGAAGAAACAGAGAACAAGCCAAAACCCAAAAAAACTATAACCCTGTTTTAGTATCACTTGCCAAACTAAACATACTAAATATAGACCATCTTTTCTTTTTAAAAAAATGAACTATGATAAAATATATGTGATGTGAAACTTACTATCTCAACCATTTCTAAGTGTACAGGCCAGTAATGGTAAGTATATTCAGACTGCTGTGCAACCATTCTCTAGGACTTTCTAGAACTTTACAGTTTTACAATCTGAAACTCTACTAGTGAGACAAGAGCTCTGCTTTTCTTCACCCAACTCTTCTGTATTTCCCTTTAACATACTGCTGTGTGAACTTCCCTGGGGAGATGTCAACAAACATCTATTCCTCTCCCAGATAGGGCACCAATAACAGACCAACATAAAGATTCCTCTATAGCTGAGCTCTGCAAACCAGTGGGTTCATTGGGTTTTGTTTACAGAGCATGGGGAAGGGAGAAAGTATGTCTAAAACACAACAAAATAGTCTCACCCCAGTTGAATGTTCCTGTAGTTGCATAGATGAGTACTCCCTTCTTTTAGCTTCCTGTGCCTGTATATAAGGTCACTCTGACCATAAAGGAGAATTACATACAGCTGGGAGGGAGGTCTAGGAAGGACAGGCTGGAGTCTCAGGTGAGGGTCTGATTATCTTCATCTTATGAGTAGCAATGGGTCCCGGGTTGTCACTGTTCATGAGTGTGCTAAGCTGGGAAGGCTGTGTCTTACAGCATGTAGTGAGTCTAAGTCTTAGATGAACCACCTATATACAGCATTTGCAGAGACAGTCCTCTTGGTGATGACATACCCTTTTCCCAAACTAGATGTGTCCCCAGGATGAAGCCAGTGGTGCTAGATTGTAAGGAAGCTCGGTGGACTGTGTTTGGATCATGGCCTTCATCTGTGGTAGAATGGGTGCATCAGTTGGGTGGGTACCACTAAAAATTCCATCCACTTGTTAGTTGACTTACCTGGGGCATGTGACAACATTTTGTTTGAAGGAGAGAGTATGAAGTTGAACGAGCCACGTGAGTCTAGTCTCCAAACTATGTCACCTGTGAAAGGAACTCCAAGAACCCAGCAACACTGAGGCTTCAGTGACAGGTCTGAGAAGGCCTGGTGCCTGTGGGGAGATTTCCTGTCTGGAGGTCAGGATGGGAGATGGAAGCTTTAGAATGTTCTCCCAACTGCCTGACTTGGAAGGGAAATAAGATGGAGAGGGGCTAGAGGGGATTGCTGTCCTCAGGTGGGTATGGGCAGCCTTGTCACTCATCAGTTATCCATTCTTTACCAGGTCAGGTCATGAGAAAGCTACAGCCTTGCTCTGTATCCTCCCACACCATGGACTAGGGGTAATGATCTGTTTGTGTCATGCTGTGGATATGAGCAACAGACCCCAGCACTGTCTGTAAATCCATTTTTGAAAGTGATACAGGACAGCCCAAAGACACAGTTCAGTAATGGGACCAGGCTTATTTTCCTGGTGGGGTGTGTGTATGTATGTATGTGTATATATATATATAGAACATGGTTAGGTGCTGCTCTCAGTCCTCCTTACTTCTTCCTTGCTGCTTTGCTTATGTCTGGTACCAGATGATGCAACAGCACAGTTGATAAACTAGCCTAACCATGACAGCTCCCCTCCCCTCCCCTCCCTTCCCCTCCCTCCTTGCCTCCCTCTCTCTGCCAGTGGATCAGGATGTAGATCTCAGCTACTTCTCTAGCACCTTGTATGTTCCCTGCTACGATAACAATGGACTGAACCTCAGAAATTGTAAGCAAGCTCCAAATAAATGCCTTCTTTTATAAGAGTTGCCTTGGTCATAGTGTCTCTTCACAGCAATGGAACAGTGACCATGATAGGACCTCACTTTGTAGCCCATGCTAGCTTCAATTCCCCAGTGCTAGAATGAATCATGGGCATGTGCCACCAGCCCAGCTCTAAGAGCTGTTTGTTTGGTTGGTTGGTTTGGAGAACAGGCTCTTACTGTATAGACTAAGCTGGCCTTGAACTCACAGAGATCCACCTGCCTCTGCCGCTTGAGTAATGGAACCAAAGGTATCCGCCACTATGCTGCACACTGTAACTTTTTAAATTTGGATACACGAGGTTTAAAGGCTCAACCCATTTTCCACTTTTGCCTTGACCCACAGGAAATTCAGAGTTTAAAATATGTTTACAGTGATAGTAGTTCACCTGAATTTTCTAGCAGTGATTCTGTTGTTTCTTTTCAAAACTCTACCCTCCACCCTCTGCTTTCCTTGTATGACTCTAGTTGAGGTTGAGTGAGTGAATGGAATGAATCTTTAGATATTTAATTTTGTGCTAAGACAGCACAGGGCATTTTTGCCAGAGGTTTTAAAATTGTGTTAGAAAAACTGTTGCATTTAAAGACAGGGAGTAGAATTGACTGGAGGGTGGAGGGCCCAGTCCTGTTGACAGGGAATCTGGACAGGGGCATATGGATGTGAGTCTGGGGGTCTGTTGTGGATGCTGTTCTTTAAGTAGAGCAGCCATCAACTTGTCACAGCAGCCTCAGGAGTGGGGCCTGGTGACTATTGAGGTTCCATCAAAGAAGGATAGGCTTGTGTGTGGTAGGGGTGTAAATGGAGTTGTTAATAGGTCTAAATAATAAAAACCCTGAGTCAGATGCAGAGGAAAATGCCGAGAGATCAGAGAGAAGAAGGAGCAAGCCAAAGCCACCTTTACCTCAGTAGCTTCCCAGTGGAAATGAGTGAGTTCCTGTTTCTTCCCGCTTATAGCCTCTCTCTGCGCAGCCATCTCACTTCCTCTCTCTGCCCAGCCATCTCACTTCCTGTCTGTCTGTTCAGACCTTCAGACCTCTATGGTTAGCTAAGCTCCATCCTCTGATCTTCAGACAGGCTTTATTTGTATAAGTAAGATACCACCACGGGGGTGTGGGGGAGACTTCATTGGACCCTCACTCGATCCCAGCCACTCCCTCTTTTCACTTAACAGCCAGCTGTATATGATTCTTCCTGATTGCACGTGGCCCATGGTCTTGGGAGATGCTAGTGTGTATAGACTCTAGAAGTTTAGTTGTGGGAGGGTATCCATATTTGCAGCCATGGGGATGTTGTCATCTATGCTGGGGTGAGATTTTCTTGTGGTGTGGCTCCTTGCTCCTGTAAGTAACCCCTAACCTGTACTCTGTAAGTAAACTCAGTAAAGTTATGGCGCCTCAATTTGGACTTTGGACTTGTACTTTGGTTTGCCTTATAAGGGTAGATAGAGGTTTGTTTGGTCTTCCTACAGAAAGAGTTCCCACCATAATGGGACTGTGATGTGTATGTGGTCCTAATAGCTCCTGCTTTCCAGTTTGTCCATTTCCAATGAGACACAGGCTTCAGAAACTGGTTTCCTTAGCCCTGGCTATGTGACCAGAATGGTGCCTTGTCATCTACAGGACCTGAATGCCTACAAGAAGCAGGGGATAGCACTGCTGACCAGAGTGGGTGAGTCGGTCAAGCATGTCACGGGAGGCTATAAGCTGAGGAGTCGGCCTCTGGAGTTTGCAGCCATTGGTGACTACTTAGACACTTTTGCACTCAAGCTGGGAACCATTGATCGGATAGCCCAGCGGATCATCAAAGAAGAAATAGGTGAGTTCTTTGTTGAGACTGACAGTGCCCAGCGTGGCAGCAATGGCGGTCATATATGCCAGACTGAAGCAACCTGCAGAAATGTCACAGTGACATCACCAGGCCTAGTTCTGCCTAAAAACCAAACACAGAGCGGGATGAGCTGGTTGTGACTAGAATGTAATTTTGCACTCAGTCCTTTGTCCGCACTGAGCATGGTGATTTCCTCATGGCCTCCATCCACAGGGCTGCTGATTACAGAAATAAACTTAGCAGAGAGATGGTTCAAAAGAGAAGTGTGGGGGCCGTGTTTGCCAAGGTTACATCCCAGTGAGCTTTTGCCCTTTACCCTGCCTGCTTCACTTTATTCCCTCTTCTGAGCTGGGGAGTTGCTCAGACCCAGGTCTGTCTGTCCTTATCACAGCCACTGCCTGTCTACCCTTCTCCTGCCATGGTCACCTGATTAGCCACATCCCAGTAACAGTGGGCACTTTGTCCCCTTACACAGGTATAGGTCAAACACACCCGAACAATGTGATTATCATGCCAAGGCATCTGTCACACAGGACTTTTAAAACATGTCAGTTACTGCCATTTCCTAATAGTTAAATAAGGGCAACCATATTCTGTCAAAAATGGCAAGAATCCTGGTGACAAATGAAGGGCCTTATTAACCCTGTAGGAGTGAAGAAATAATTATTTTCTTATTCCCTGCAACCACTGATAGGACCATTGGGTGTGGGACTGAGTCTGTCTATATAAGACCACATCTCTTTCAGTGAGGTGTTCCCTGTAATCCTGTCATTTTTCCATTGTGATTGATTTTTTTTTTTAAAGATCACCCTGCCGAGTACTAGAGACATGACTCAGGTTAAGACCAGAGGGACTGGATTCAGTGCCTAGCATCACACCATCTATAACTCACAACCATCTATAACTCCAGTTCCAGGGGTGCAAGGCCCTCTGAACCCATATGAAAGTCATATTCCCCCCCCATTGTGTTGTAAAAGGTTGCACTTGCAGCATGGGTAGGGGTGATTATTCACCCAAAGAAGTTCTCTGGGTTTGGCTCTTAGCTATTTTCCCCTAAAGGAGTTTTGATTCCTATTAACAAGAATCCTAGATATTCGGATGTGACTTACAGTAGCTTTTGGGGGGGGGGAGGGTATGCCCAGGAAAGAGAATAGCCAGGGCTGTAGATTCCTAAATCAATCATAGAGTGAGAGCTCCCCAGTCAGATTCCAAGTGGCTTCTCTTTTTATAGAGTACCTCGTAGAGCTGAGGGAATATGGGCCTGTGTATTCCACATGGAGCGCCTTGGAAGGCGAGCTAGCAGAGCCACTGGAAGGTGTGTCAGCCTGCATTGGGAACTGCTCCACAGCCTTGGAAGAACTGACAGATGATATAACAGAGGAGTTTCTACCAGTGCTCAGGGAATACATTCTGTACTCTGACTCCATGAAGGTAAGCTGGCTTGCTTTTTGCACACTCATCAAAAAGCTCTTAATTGTCGAATGTGGTACTTGTCCCTTCTCTGTAGTTGGGAAAACTGATACTACAGACATATAATCAGAACAAAGGGTGTGAAATAAGTGGAAGAAAAGATCAGAGGAAATTTACTATCAGTGTTCTCATACCAAGGAATGAGATGCTGTTGGGGAAGGATGGGTAGATAACTTTGTGAATTAAAAACATGGCTTCTTGGGGCTGGACAGATGACTCCATGGTTAAGAGCACTGGCTGCTCCTCCAGAGGACCCAGGTTCAATTCCCAGAATCTACATGGCTGCTCAAAATTGTAGATCCAGTCCCAGGAATCCACTTCTAGCCTCCTCAGGCAATGGGCACTTATGTGGTGCATAGAAATACAAATAGGCAAAAGCACCCATACCCATAAAAATTAATTAATTAAAAAAGCACATGATTTGTTAAATAAAATTGGTAAACTTGGAAAATATAGTTGAGGAAATCTTAGAAAGGAAGACCAAAAAAGTAGTTGGAAAGTCAAACACAACTGCAGATATGCCAAAACTGTGACAGACAGAAGGTGAGGGGTAGTACAGCATTAATCTCAAGGCTCAGCATCTTTTGGAGAATTCCTGACTGAGGGAATAGGAATAACCAAGGGAAGGAAATTAAGAAAGAGATAATACAAGAAAATCTCCCAAACCTGAAAATACAAGCCTTTTCATTATAAAGAATGTGCTAGTTGTCCCGAAAAATGGATGCAAGGAGAACCAATCCAATGGATACCATTGTGAACTTACAGGGAGAAAGAGGTGATATATAAGGTATAAGAGTGAGGGTGGCTTTGATCTAGCGCTGGTGAGTGAGAAAACCCAGCTGTGAGGACACACAGATCCGTATCTCTATATAGCACAAGGATGGAGATGTCCTGGTGCCCCACATAGTGGCTCACAGAGTCTGACTGAGAACACAGCTTCAGGGGACTCCTGTGAGGGTAGCACCAGGTAGAAAAAGGATCTGTCTTCCTCACAGCCCAAGAAGATAACATGGCTCTGTGTTGAAAGCCCACCTCCAAGCATTCACCCCAGGTAGCCAAGGGTGGCTCTGAACTCCTGACCCTCCCACTGAGCACTAACTTCCAGGCCTGCATCACCATGCCCGATGTAGAGGTGAGCTGGTTGATGATTATTAGAATAGAAGCTGAAAACCCAAAACTTCTGGTCCCAAACCTGCAGTTTATTCTCATCTGTTACATTGCTTTTAAATAAAGATAAATGAATATAGGAAGAATTTTTAACTGTGTGGCTGAAACAAGTATAGGAAGGCATCCCAAATTATTTTAAATGAACCAAAATGTTTTTCACTTTGCTTGCAAGGTTAGCAGTGCTTGTTTTTGTAAACAAAGAATTTTTTTTTCTTTTACTCCTTGTCATTTGTCTAGATTTGACTCTTATATCCTTAACCAATGCATGCACAGTTTTAGGGTATTACACAAACTTTTCTATTCTAGCAGGTAGCAAATGTGTTAATATTCAATATATATTTTTCTCAAAGTAGGATTTTAAATTGTTGTTAAGCAAAGATTTATCTGCTATCTTAATTAAAACAGGGGCCTGTGAGGCATAGGATTGCTGGAGCAACTGAAGTCATACAGCAAAGAGGTGGTGGTTTTTCTTTTTTGTCATCACATGTGTGAGGCATTGTTGTACTGAGTTTCTTGGTCATTGATCCCCAAAATACTGCAGTCAGGTTAATGGGGCAGGGAGAAGGATTGTCTCCAGTGTGGTTGGGGAAGGGCATGGTGAAGAGGAAGTGTTGCGGGGAAGATTGTGGGTGCAAGGGGATTGAATGATACTTCCAGACAGTGATGCATGTCTTCATTGGCTCCCTTGTCATTGAATATTCATGCTGCCTAAAAATCCTTTTCCATATTTTACACTCCAAGAGAACCCTATAGTTGCCTATTCCAAAAAACTTTCTGATATTTTATCTTATGTGTAGCCCTGCCTGTCCTGGAACTTGCTATACAGACCAGGCTGGCCATAGAGATCCACCTGCCTCTGCCTCCTGAGTGCTGGAATTAAATGTCTATGCTACCATGTCCAGCAAACTGATGTTTTAGATTTTTGAGAGGGCCTTTGGTATTTGTTAGGAAAACTGAACTTGACTGGGAGCTGACTGGAGGCCTGGATGCCACCTTTCCTCCATCTGCCCATGGCTTCAGGACTAGAAGGTCCTGCTGGCTTGGCTCTGATGGCAGTTATTGGTACTAGCTTTGACTGAACCAGAGTGAGTCTTTCAGGAAGCCTCTTGGCAGCTGCCGGAGCCTCTTTCCCTTCCCACAGTTTATGGGCTCATAGCTTCTCCACAGTAGACATGGACTTGAGCTCAGACGGAGACATGTGCTCTCTGGCATATATTCATGATTGTGGTATTTTCTTGGAAAAAATCTAGTGTTGATGTTGAAAGTCAAACCACAGAATATGTCCCTGATTCTTCTAGGTGGTTTTGTCATTGTAAGGTTTGCCTACAAACAGGTAGGCAAAGGCTGTTTGCCACAAACATGTCACCATCGACAGTTTGATCATTGGTACTGTTAGTTCATTGTATTCATTCTGGATGACAGATATTATGTTTGCATTGTTTGATAATTCTGTTGTAGAAAATTTTAGACATGTCCATATCACTTGTTCAAGAGTTCAAGAATTGCCCACTTACGACCCAGCCACTCCCACCCCACGCCCTTGTGTTTTAAAGTGAATTCCAAGCATTATTATAGTTTTGTAAAAAAAACACTTGGCACCTCAAATATATGTGCTCCTATAGTCAAGTAAAAACCTGTATCATTAGCACAACTCTTATAATGGGCTGTTATAAGGGCTGGGTATCTCAGTGGTGGAACACTTGCATGAGAACCAAGGATCAACACTCAGCACTGTGGAAAGAATCATAAACAGTTACTGGGCTAGAGAGATGGCTGGGACAGGGGAGCTGGATAAGAGCACTCACTATGAAAGCTTGGAGAACTGAGTTTAGATTCCTAGTACCCATATAAGCCAGGTGTGGCTACATGGACCTGTAATCCCAGTGCTGGGTGGCGGTAGTAGGTTGCAGAAACAGTAGGTTGCAGAAACAGGAGTGTAATTGGGGCTTGCAGGATGGTTGTACAATAAAACTATAAACTCCAGGTTCTGTGAGAGACCTTGTCTCAGGAGAATAAGGTGGAGATTGGTAGAGGGAGATACCCAATGTCCTCCTCTAGGCTTTGTATGCATAAACATGGGTATGCAATGTAACACACACACACACACACACACACACACACACACACACACTTTTAAAAACCAGTTTCTTATTATGGTCACCTACCCAGTAGTGCTCAAATTGTCTCACATAATTTTTATAGTCCTCCTTCCAAAACCCATCAGAATCCATATATTCATTGAGAGGTTTCTTAAATATTTTAAAATTTCTTTCCATTTTTTCCTCACAATTTTCTTGTTAAAAGTGAGCACTGAGCTGAGACCTTAGCCTTCCCTTCATCTGAACAGAAAACCAGTGAAGCCCCAGATTAATAGGACCACTTAAAATCCCTCAGAAGTGCTCTCCATCTGAAAACGGCATCCAAGAGAAGCCCATTCTGTCTAATTAAATTCACCGTCTCCCAACCCTCAGTCCTTCCCATATTTGTCCCTGTTTCAGTTTTCCTTGGTGACACTTCATGCTGCCTCCAGTCCTGTTGACTTGTTTGTTGCCCATCTCCTCTCTGGCATGGACGCTCCATGAAGGCAAAACTGTTTCGTTTTGTTCTCTGCCCCTAGATTGATGAATCATTCATGATGCTTAAAGGTAGAAGTGGGGGAGGAAAGCTAGTGACACTGGGAGGCTCAGGTGGCTTCTGTTTGTTCACTGGAGGTAGGGGGCCTCTCTGTAGGTAGAGCTTCTTGGCTCTTTCGCTCCTATTGGCCAATTGTATCTCCAGAGACTGTTTGTTTGGAGTGGGGAGCCATCCTCAGCATGACCAGCAGTGTGTAGAGGGTCCCCTTAGCAGATAACCAACCTTCAGCATGACTGGGTTGTGAAAGGTCAGCCTGTGAAACCCTAAGTCAGAAGATAGTGGACACTGAGTTGCTGCTGTCCTGTCATCAGCAGTGTGGCTTCAAGCAGGCCCTGCACTGTCACCATGCCAAGTGTCATTCAGACAGTAGGTATGTCCTTTGCCTCCACTAGGTTGTTGGGAGCCTTTTATGCCATCTGGTGATTCTGGGGTGTAAGCCTAGATTCTCCCACCAGCCGGCTCATGAAGACAACATCCCATTTGCTCCAGGGGAGGTTGGATGGTGGAGATGTGGACAGAAGAGCAGTCCAGAGTAACTGGACCTGAGCTTCTCTTGCCTTCTTTGTGGAATGGGATAAGTAGTTGCCCTTTAGACTATGGTAGCCATCTAGGGTGGATGCATCTTCTCTCACTTCCCTCCCTGCAAGGGTCTTGGCATCCTTAACAAAGTGACATAATAAAAAACGGAGAGAAAACCACACATTGGGCTGACCGTCCAAGGCATTTTCTCAAGAATGTTGATTCTGAGATTCTGAGATTCTGGTCACACCAACAAAGAACATGTCTGTGCAGCTTCATTCCTTGAAGTGCTAGACTGCAAATGCCTGCTTTTTCCAGTAAGATGTGCAGCATTCTGTGAAGGGAGTACACACAAGCTGGATCAGATAAGACGCCACTGCTCCCACGGACAGCATCATATGTTCATTTCTCTTGGGTGGCACCAGACAGGTAGATTTAGATTATAACCTAGGCTGTGTGAAGTCAGAAATACTAGGCTCTTGTTATTTTCCTTTGTTTTGTTTTATAGATTTAGCCTGTCTAATGTGGTAGCCACTGGCCATATATAATGATTTATTTAACTCTAAATTTGAGGATAAATACAAATTCAGGGCTGGAGAGATGGTTCAGTGGTTAAGAGCACTTGCTCCTTTTGCAGAAGACATAAATTATGGCTCCATCACCCACATAGGGTGGCTCACAGCTGTTTATAACTCAGGCTTCGGGGGATCTGACACCTCTGGTCTTGGTGGGAACCTGTACTTACATGCATACAGACACACACACACACACACACACACACACACACACACATGTTTCTTCAGCCATATGAGCCACGTGTCAAGTATTTGACAGGCAGATGGGGCTAGTAACTGCTGTGTTGTGGAACATTGCCATCACAACAGAAGGCTCCTTTGGAGACATTCACAAGGGCAGGGAGTGAGCATCAGAGCCCTTAGGAGAAAGAGGACTGGCCCACCTGGAGGATGAATGATTACCAGTGATGTATTCTTCAAAGTAAACTCTTCAGGAGAAGACTTGGGGCTCCCAATGTGGATGATTCCCTTTAGAAGATGGGCTGTAGAGTGCCCTCAGACATTTAGTCACTCAGCACCTTTGAACACATCCCCAGGGACACTGAGTGCCTATCACTTAGTTCAGGAATGGGTCTTCCTGCCCTGACTCCCTGTGTGGAATTTATGATTAGAAAATGTCTTGGTAACTTGTTGCTTCTGAGTCAGTGGGTAAGAAGGCTCTCACCATTCCTGATTTGCCATTTTGCAATGTACCAGAAGGCTGAGGGGAAGGAAGAACTGAGGTGTGCTTTTTCTATTGCAAGATCTTGTATCTGGCACTGTAGGGTCTGGGAAGCAGGCCTAAGACTAGGGGAAGGGAGGGGAGCCCCGGGCAAGGCTCAAGGTGCTATTCACTCTCGGGTGAACATGCCCTTATACTTTTCATGTGAGCCTTGCCTCACCTCTGTCCCTCCCAGGCTGGCTGTCACTGAGCCCATTTGCCACCCATCCTGGCAAGCTTGCTGCATGGTTCTGGGGACTCAGAGCTGTCACACAGAGCTCCTGTACCTGCAGCCTTGTATACATCAGGATCTTTCTCAGACTGAACCCTCAGCTGAGGACCGAGTTTGCACCCCATACCTGACCCAGAGAAGAGAACAAACAAGTGGCTAATGAAACAGAGGACAGATGAGTCCACCAGGGATCAGTCCAACACTAAGGAGTGAAGAACTCTCCTATAATCATTCTATTACAGAGTGATGTTAGTTGATAGTGTATTCATGAAAACTGCTGAGAGCAGATTTAAATGCTCTCACCACAAAAAGTAAGCATGAGGTAATGTCTGTTAATTTGCTCAGTGTAGCTACACCATAATATGCATGTATTTTGGCACACTTTGTTCGTAATAAATATGTAGGATTTTTGTCAATTACATAAATTAATAATTATAATTAAGAACTGTTTCAGCAGACAGCCCTGCGTTTAAGCACAGAGCTCGGCATTTGCTAGAGTTCTCTGTACACGGTAAGGTTGAGAGGATTCTGGGCAGTCTGGTGGTGGGTACACATCTTCCCGACTCACTATGCCCAAAATCTATTGCTGTCAACATCTGGCGGGGTTCTTTCCTGGAGAGCTTGGTCTCCAGGATTGGTTCTCCTTCCTTTTCCCTCCTGTCCTCAGAACTGGTGTTACTTGTAGCTTCTGGACCATAATCCCTGTCCTGGGAGCACATGGCTGGGCTGGGAGTTGGAGGCCCCTTTGCAGGCTGTTAACATGTTCTCTCTACCTTCCACAGAGTGTACTGAAGAAGAGGGACCAAGTTCAAGCAGAGTATGAAGCCAAACTGGAAGCTGTGGCTCTGAGAAAGGAAGAGCGTCCCAAGGTCAGGCCAGCACCCCGCAAAGGCTGGGCTGAACGCTGCAGGCTCCCTACTGATGCTGATGCTCAGCCTTAGACTTAAGCATAGGCCCTTCCACTACCAATATGTCGTTCTCCTTCTGTGTGTTTGTGATTCAGATTTGTAGTTGTGTTCACAGAAGAGGTGGGCATTATAGTAAGGACCAATGTTGAGGCAGATAGTTTGACATCAGAACTAGTCATCTGTCCTCCCTTCCCTGGAACAGACTTGGGGGAATTTGAAACCTCACTGCTTGACTTGGTGTGCGCATTTTCTTTTTTAAAGAATTAATTGTTTCACATGATACTGTGCTAGTCATGTGACCCAGAAGGGAGACAGTATTCTTACCCCATTCCAAGGGCAGGGAAGTGAGTCACAGTGCAGTACTGTGAATTGCTTAGTGTTTTGGATGCAGATGTCCTGTGCCCCGTATGCCGTCATAGGCGGACATGCATGTCTGTTGTGTTGATTTGTGTGTCACCATAGTGAGCCACTATAACTAGTCTTTTTCCATCCTGCCAGCCAACTCCCAAATAATGACATAGAGACTTCTTATTAATTATGAAAGCTTATCCTACAGCTTAGGCTTGTTCCTAAGTAGCTCTTAAAACTTAAATGAACCCATTATATTAATCTACGCTCTACCACATGGCTTTCCCACTCTTCTATCTTGCACCTCCTCTTTCCCCTCAGTGTCTCCTGGCATCTCCGTCCCTCCTATACCTCCTGCCTAGCTACTGGCTGTTCAGCTTTTTATTACAACAATCACAGCAATACACCTTCACACAGTGTACAAATATCCCGCAACAATCCACACCAGAACTTGAGTGCTGCCTGTGTCTTAGAAAGTGGGATGGGAGCACATGTTGGTTACTTCCCTCCTTGTTCTGGCAAAAGTAACTAAAGGAAGGGAGGGTTTACTTTAGCTTACAGTTTGAGATTTCAGTCCAGCATGGTAGGGTAGACCTGGCAGCAAGAGCGCGAAGCAGCTGGTCACATGGTATTACAACTAGGATGCAAAGAGCCACAGACACTAGTAGTACCCAACTCATTTTCTCCGGTAGACAACCTCAGCTCATGGAGTGGTGCCCACTTCAGTTAACCCAATCTAGAAACCCTTCACAAACATGCCTGGAGTTTTGCTTCCATCATGACTCTTAAGTTTCATCAACTTGACAACCAAGATTAACCAGCTTGTCACTGGCCTAGAGCTCGTAGCTGATGGACACCCCACCCCTGCCATCCCTTGCTTCTCCTGCGATGGTGCGCTGTGAGGAAGGAACCCATGGTGGAAATGAAGGCAGATGGCACAGCCTCCACCATCCTCATGTTTCCTCTTTCACTAGAAACCTCTAGCTGTTCTTGTGATCTGGAACATAGTTCTATATGCTGAGCCCATGTCTCAGCCTCATTGAAAAGGAATGACATGGAAGGCTAGATATTTAAATACTTTCTCTTTTGTGACTTAGCCTTAACTGTGAGGTCACTTCAGAAAAGACAAATGGCTATCTCATGTGTAAAACCTAAAGAAGTGAACTTATAAAAAACAGAGCAGAATGGTGGTTCCTAGGAAGGGGAAATAGGAAGATGTTCAAGAGTCAAGAGGTCCAATCCTTTAGTTACAAAGTGAATATATTCTGAAGATCTCATGTGCTTCATGGGTGCCATGGATGCTAATGTGATTATGGTAATCATTACATGGTTTATATGCATATCAAATCATGCTTCTTCAGTAGGTATAATCTCTGTTAATTATTTGTTTAAAACCCAGAAGTCACTTTTTGTCTTAGTCTGCTTTCTATTGCTGTGATAAAAAACATGACCAAAAGCAACTGGGGAAGAAAGAGTTTATTTGGTACACACACACGCACGCACGCACGCAGGCACGCACGCACGCACGCCTCTCCCTGGTCACAGTCCATTGGAGGAAGCCAAGGCAGGCACTTGGAGGCAGGAACTGAAGCAGAAGCCATAGAGGAGTGCTGCTCACTGATTTGCTTTCTATGACTTGTTCAATTGGCTTTCTTATACAGCCCAGGGCTGCCCTGCCTAGGGGTGGCTTTTATGTGGGTGTTGGGGATTCAAACTTAGGTCTCCATGCTTGCAACACTTATTCACTGATCTCCCCAGCTCTGCCCCCTTCCAGTCTCTTGCCTTTTTTGAGCCATCCTGTTTTAGGCACAATCATTGTGTCCTAAGCTTCCACTGCTCCATGACTGGCTGCCCATCAGCATGTGGACAGACCTCTAGGAAATGAGCAACTTTAGGCTTTGCTCTGCTTGTCTTCAGATGTTTGAGCTCACAGAATTAAAGCTGCTGTTAGTGGAGTACAAGCCAGGGCATCAGGTGTAGTTCCACTCCAAGGACTCAGCCAGCTCTTTTTTTTTTTTTATAATTGTAATTAGACCAATTTTAAATTAGAAACAAGCTTCTTTTACATGTCAATCCCAGCTCCCTCTCTTTCCCTTCTTCCCCTGCCCCCTCAGCCAGCTCTTTTAGTTACTGGTGTGTGAGAGAGAATGAAGGCTGGGTTTAGACATAGCAACAGAAAGTTAAATCTTAAAAAAAAAAGTTGACAGAGAGAGAGGGATTGGGAGAGAGAGAAAGAATTTTGAGGTTTTGTGAAGCTCTGGCACACTGAAATCTAATCACTTAGAAAGAAAAACTGTGTGTGTGTGTGTGTGTGTACATGCACACGCATGTGTGCGATTGTGTGTTCATATATGCACCTGGAAGCCTCAGAGTCTGTGTTGTTCACTGCTATGTATTCTGTGCTACCTGGCCTGAGAGCTTCCAAGCTTCTCATTACAGACACTCTGAAGAGTCGTGTGGGTTCTAGGAATCCAAACTTATCCTCATGCTTTACAGTGAGAGCTTTCTCCACTGAGCTGTGTCCCCAGCCTAAAACCTAATTATTTTTATGTAAACCAGAGGAAGGAAGGAGTTTCATGGGTCTCTTTGATCCTCACTTCAAATGAAGTAGTCATCTTAGGATGGAGCAGTCGGGATGAAGGAGCAGGCTGCATGGTTGCGGTGCTGGCTGGGAGCCCTGTGGTCTTTTGGTGAGAGCCAGGGCAGGGCTGGTGAGACTTCTAGTGCTGAGGGAGACATAATTGGATAGGATTTCTAGTTTTGCTCTGCTTTGAGGCTTGAGAAAATGAGAGACACTGAGCTGGTTTGCCCTCAGACAGTGGAATTGTGTTTTGTGTAGATTTCGTGTGGTAGTTTGAAAGAAAATGGCCCCAAAGGGAATGGCACTATTATGAGTGTGGCCTTGTTGAAGTAAATGTGGCCTTGGAGGAAGTGTGCCACTGTGGTCTTTGAGGTCTCTTTTGCTCAAGCTTCATTCAGTGTGACACTCAGTCTATTCCTATTGCTTGCCTATTAACATGTAGCAGCTTCTTCTCCAGTACCATGTCAGCCTGCTCACCACTTGCTCCCTGCCATGTTCCCTGTCATGGTGATAATGGACTGAACCTCTGAAACTGCTGCCACCTCAAATAAGTGTTTTCCATTATAAGAGTTACCATGGTAATGGTGTGTCTTTACAGCAATAGAAACCCTAACTAAGGCACTTAGCTTTCCTCCCAGTTTTAATGTTGAGAAGCCATAGGTGTAGGAGAAGACCAGCTGCCTTCTGCTGGGTCTATGAGGCCCAGACTTCACAAGGTTTAGCATCTGGGCCTCTTCTGAGACTCAAGAACTATTACTACAGAAGGGTCAGAGGACTTAGCATGTAAAACCAGGCTAGACATTGGCATACTAAGTAAACAGTAAGGGTGAACTTGTAGAGGAGACATTTACATTTTACCCAATTTTCCATTAAAGATTAATTTACATTATGTGCATGAAGTGTTTTACTTACATGTATGTATATGTACCATGTGTGTGTCGGTGCCCGTGAAGGCCAGAAGAGGGTGTTGGATCCCCCGGAATGGAGTTATAGGTAGTGCTGAGTTGCCACATTGGTTCTGGGAACCACATCCATGTCCTGCAAGAGTTGCAAGTGCTCTTAATCACTAAGCCATCTCTTCAGTACTTGTAGTTTTTGCACCTTTTCTCTTTTCCATATCATTGATTCAGAAAAAAATAAGGAAGCAGCCTGGTGGAACATGCCTGTAATCCTAGTATTCAGGAAGCTGAGAGACAGGGGAATCCCCAGTTAGAGGCCTGCCTGAAATACACAGCAAGACACTGTCTCAAACAGTGTCAGAACAGTGAAACAAAAAAGAATGAGGGATGCCAGGAAAGATGCTACACAAAAATACAGGGTTTTTTTTTTTTTTTTTTTGGTTTTTTGAGACAGGGTTTCTCTGTGTAGCCCTGGCTGTTCTGGAACTAGCTCTGTACTCCAGGCTGGCATTAAACTCATAGAAGGATCTTCCTGCCTCTCCCTCCTGAGTGCTGGGATTAAAGGTGTGCACCACTACCAGCTGGCATAATGTAGTTATTTTTAAAAGGAAATTTTTGAAAAAAAAATAAAAAGGCAGAAAGTGGCTATTTTAGACACCTTGCACCCACGGTTGAAAGCAGAGAAAGATGAACATGGATGCCAGCTTGATATGGGTGTCAAGCTTCCCTGTCCCTTTCCCCCTTTAATTTAGCCTCGTACCCCATCCATGTTTGGAGTGGGCCTTCTCTTAGTCAAGCCTCCCTGGAAACCCTTTTGCAGATGCCCAGACACTCTCAGGCGATTCTAAAATCCAGATAGGTTGACAGTGACCACAGGTGTGACAAAGGGCAACAACTCTTCCTCCCCCACTCTCCTACCACCCTATCATAGCCTTACCCTGTAGTCCAGGCTGGCCTTGATTGGCTGTCTTCCTAATGCTGCAATTCTGAGCATGTATCATCATCACATCCTTCAGGGACACTCCCCTTTCCCTGCACTGGGGACTGAACCAAGAGCCTGATGCATGCCGGGCAAGCACTCTACCACCAAGCCATGTCTCTAGTTTCTAGTCCCAGACATCATAATGGTGAGTTCTAAGAGACCTGAGATCATTAAACAAGGATATCTATTATTCCCAGATGTTTTTGACAAGTGAAGAGAGATGTATTTTCTAGTAAATTTCACAGCATCTTCGATTGCACCCAGACATAATTAGCCAGAGGTGAGCAGAATTCTCTCATCTTTCCTTTCTCTTCTGTGACAGAGGAATTAGTTCTGTCATTGGTTTCAGGACTTGAAGCCATGAGCACCTCTTTCCCTCAAGTCTTGGGATTTTTCTCAGTCTTACATTCCTGGGAGATTTTTTTTAATCTGTTGTGGAGGAGTAAATAATATGACTCTCTGCCCTTGCTTTGAAAAAGAAGCAGGTAGAGATTTATACATTAGGGCCTGGAAATGCCCTGCCCACAAACAGAGTGCAAGAATATGTATTCTAAGTGGATTTAATCTACCACCCTGCACTGCAGCATACATAAATGTTCAGCATTAGAGCATGGAACTGGTGAACAAACAACAACTATTAGCACCGTACAGATCATCACACCTGAGCCTTCTCTGATGGAATTTTTCACCAGACATGGAGGAGCCTATGTGGGAACACAGTTTATCATTGATTCAGACATTTGTGCCATCTGAGGCCTTAGCAGTGACCCAGCCCCCAAACTTTTGTATCTGATGATAGAGAATACCCACCTGTTATCCTTGAATATTGCCATCCCAATGTCTGTCAGATACAAGAAGCATGAATAACAACAAGGAATGCTAGGTGTTACCAGTTAATTGTCACAGAAACACACAAATAAGAAAAGAGTTGCAGTGTCACCTACCTGCAAGCCTGAGTGTCAGCTGTCGGCAGACCTCATATTCATATAGTTGGGCAGCTTTATAAGGGAAGATGCCCAGTTCCCTCAGCCCTGTCCTTGCCATGTTGAAATTCTTCTGGTTGATAGAAATTGACTCTCAATAGTTAGTCCTGTAGCTTGGAGACATTTGGGCTTGTTGGTCTGGGGACTTAAAACCTTCAGGGTATCATTTGCTTCTGTCAAGTGTTGGCCTAACTTTGGGCATGCTGAACCCTGACCACCATATGGGCCCATTGGAGCACTTGTGTTGCTAGTTGTTTTTTATTTTTTGCTCTTACTCTTTGTTCTTTTGTGGGGCCTGCCACTCAACTCCCAAATAAATCACACATGGACTCTTATTCTTTCATATGAATGCCCAGCCTTAGCTTGGCTTGTTTCTGATCAGCTTTTCTTATGTTAAATTATCCCATCTTTCTTTTGCCTCTGGGCTTTTACCTTTCTCTATTTCTGTATGTCTTACTTTCCTTCTTACTCTGTGGCTAGCTGTGTGGCTGAGTGACTGGCCTCTAGTGTCCTCCTTTCCTTTCTCCTTCTCCTTTTCTCATTTCTTCTTCTACTTATACTCTCTGCTTGCCAGCCCCACCTGGCAATTCAGCTCTTTATTAGACCATCAGGGATTTTTAGGCAGGCAAAGAATCACAGCTTCACAGAGTTAAACAAATGCAACATAAAAGAATGCAACACGGTCTGGAGAGATGGCTCAGAGGTTAAGAGATGGCTGCTCTTCCAGAGGTCCTGAGTTCAATTCTCAGCACCCACATGGTGGCTCACAACCATCTGTAATGAGGTCTGGTGTCCTCTTCTGGTGGACAGACATACATGCAGGCAGAACACTGTATGCATAATAAATAAATTTTTTTAAAAAAGAATAAAGAATGTAACACATCTTTGCATCATTAAAACAAATGTTGCACAGCATAAACAAACATAACACATCTTCTGGGGTCTGGCCTGTCTCAGTCCCACACTACAGAGGCCATCTGTTCTGGACTGATGTCTTTGCTGCTTTGATGTAAACCAGCTGAGCATCCCTGGGTCCTACTCTGAGTGGGGGAGTGTGGATCAGGAAGCCCCAGCTACCCAACGGTGTTAAAGATGAGACAGAGATATCTTGTCATCTCAGGAAGGCCTTCAGTCTGTACTGGAGTCCACAGTTTATTCAAGCATCCTCTTCAATAGCTTTCCAAAAATGGGGGAACTGGTAGAAGACCTCTATTATCATGTCTAGAACTGATATCAAATATTTCCTTTAATCCTAGAGAGAGTACCAGAATGCACGTACATAAGCCCCCAGACATTCCACAAGGGCACCAGTCTCAGAATAGATGTGGGCTCACCAGGGCCTAGGTCTATTGTTATACAAACTAGGAGACATTCTCCACAATGGCCAGGCCATCCAGAGGTAACCAGATGACATCTAAAAGACAATAGGATAACTGAGCTCCTAGAATTGAGGTGGGGCCTATAACCGAAAATATGTTCGGGCACTGGCACACTTTTTTTTTTTTTTTTTTTTTTGGTTTTTTGAGACAGGGTTTCTCTGTGTAGCTTTGGAGCCTATCCTGGCACTCGCTCTGGAGACCAGGCTGGCCTCGAACTCCCAGAGATCCGCCTGCCTCTGCCTCCCAAGTGCTGGGATTAAAGGTGTGCGCCACCAACGCCCGGCCCAACACACATCTTAAAATAATATTCTTCAACATACTTGACAAGACAGAAAATCTGGTTTTAGAAAACCACTGTGACCAGGAGGCCCAAGATAGCCATGTGGGATAAATGCAACTCACCACAGCAAACTGAAGGTCACAAAACCCAGGGGACATACTTCCCTTTGGAGAAAGTCTTCCTAAACCTTAAGAAAAACTTGAAACCACCTGTTATATTACACTTCAAATTCTTTTGATGCCTTTAACGGTTTTCCTTCCATTCTTGGACTTTCTGACTACCTGCCACCTAGAGTGCAGAAGGGTACCCAGTTTATTTATCATGTGGAGCTCAGAGGCAGGAGCTGGCCGGTAGTCTTGTTATTACAGTTCGCTCAGATAAATGAGGAAGAGCGTCATCAGACATCACAAGTATTGGACTAGTTCCCATGACCCAGGAAACTCCTTCTTTTCTAGTTCTGACACGACCCAGGACTGTATGTGGGGCCTGCTGCTGTATGTGCAGTCTGTCCCTGTTTGTCAGCATGGATGACAAAATGATCCTAAAAGGATCCCAAGCCACCTTACTCAGAGTCCTTTTCTTCCCATTTGCAAATGGAGACAGGGAGGTGTTTTCCCATGTGTCTCTGCTCTGTTGAATAAATGGGATGATGTTTGCTTTTTACAAATTTTTCTATAGGTCCCACAACTCAAGCCTATGTTTTCCAGGAAGCATTTGAACATTTTAATTTAGCACTTTGGCTCCCTACAAATGTTTGAGGAGGAGCTCACAGTAGGAGAAACCAATCACACTTCGAAGCTACGAATATGTTTTGCTTCCAGGTGCCAGCAGATGTGGAGAAGTGCCAGGATAGGATGGAGTGCTTCAATGCTGACCTGAAGGCTGATATGGAGAGATGGCAGAACAACAAGCGCCATGATTTCCGGCAGCTGCTCGTGGGCTTGGCTGACAAGAATATCCAGTATTATGAGAAGGTGAGAAGCAGGCTGCCTGCCACTGTGGTTTTGTTAGACCCCCGGAAAACTCAAGTATCCGGGGTCCCAGGCCACGTTCGCGGTCACCACAATCACCAGGTGGATTCGAGAGCTTGCTGCAAACTGCACGAGGCTTTATTGTAATTTAACGAGCTAACCCCATGTTAGCTTGGGTCTTTCCCCCACCCGCCATGGCGGATGGCTAGCAAAAGACGGCTCCTAGGGCCTCCCAAGAGATCTTATAGGACAGCGTAAGGGGAGTGTCTAGGGGTATGCACAGGCTCACGATTGGTGTGCCTCCAGG